GTTCTTCATCGTCGGCCTCATCTTCATCCCCATCGGCATCGGCATCTTCGTCACCTCCAACAACATCCGCGAGATAGAGGTGAGCAGCGTCCTCCTGGGGACGGAAGGCAACCGACCTCCCTGCTTCCGGTGCTCTTTCTGCTGCTCCTTTCTTTCTGCGCGGCTTCTGCATTTGTGTTCTGCTTTTACCTGCTTGCAAACGGAATCAATACCACAGAAAGTCAGTCAGGTGGAGAATTTATTCAGTGGTAGTTTGTATGATTCCCTGGGCTCAGGGTACTGTTCATCAAAATGCAAAGTGGTAAAAAATAAAGATGGATCAAGATGAAACTCCGAAGGAATCGACAGGATGATGGTGTCATTGCCTGTGCGTGCATTGTCTCAGGACACAGATGAACACACTGGCTGTGGTTGGGGAAAAGACCCAGAGTCCCAGAAGTATTGATGAATCTTAGGTAAAGCTGTGAAGTCATATGTTACCAGGGCACATCCCTGGATATAGGACTGAAGTGTGCCTGGTGCCTTTCAATTTGAGCTGATTACATGTTTTTAGGGCATGATATAAGTTAAAGCTAGCTGGAAGCTTCATTTCTGGTTTTGCTTTTAGGCTTCATTTGTTAATGATCGTGTCTCACATTCACTGTAGTTTTTCTGTTCTTGATTTTAAACTTTACAGAGTCAGTGACCACACACACAGAATAAATTGTGCCCTGTTTATTAAACATTTTCCTAGTGTGATTTTTACCGAACATTTCACTCATAGATTACAGGACAGAAGAACTTATATTGTGGAAGCATTTCGATTTCTGTCAGAGCAGAAATCATGGGACTTTTATACAGCTGCAGTGGTGAAAATGGATTGATAGTACAATGTAAATACTGCGTGGTATTTAGTATTAAACATCTTTTATCCTATCTGAGTGTTTTTGTCAGCTGAAAGGTAAAGAGCTGATCCTACTGATCTTGTTTTGTTTTATCATGCATATACATGTATACTTTTTAATCAGTATTTATCTATATGATATAATGGGACTTTCAGAATAATTTTATTTTTTAACCAGAGAAGGAGGGATAACTTTTCCAATTTAATTTACAGTGTTATCTCTAAAAGCAAGACTGACATTTTCAATTGTACAGTGCTTATGTATTAATAACTATGGTAAGAGTATCCATAGCATAAGTAGGTTTTAAATCTTCCATTAAGAATTCTCAATATAAGAACTACGGAAAGTGTCATGTATATTTTTTAAGTAAGTGTTGTAATTTATTTCATTTTTTAAAATCTCCCTAGTAGTCTGTAAATGTAGTCAAAATCCAAAACTTCTTGGTTGTGTCATGTTGGGACTCAAAATGTTTGGATTTTTGTGTTTTGGATTTCAACACTTTCAGATTAGGGATGTTCAACTGAAGTCTATGAAAATATTCCAAAACCTGAAAAACCCCTCAAATCTGAAGCATTTCCAGTTCCAAACATTTTGAACACTTATCTTGTACTTATTCTTCACCCACACTAGGATCACATGTATCAGACCATGCATGGACTGTAGCTGATATCGTGAAGAGCTGGATCAAGTTCTGGCTCAGCCATTTTAGCTCAGATTCTTGGAAAATTAAGGTCATTTTCTGAATCTCAGTTTCTTCATTTCTAGAACAAATAAAATAATGCATATCTTCCAAAATGTAAGAATTAGAAGCAATATAGATAAGAGGTGTGACACTAAGTTAAGCAGGAGATGAGAAATAGATTGAGATTTTCAGTAAACTAGTTAGCGATATATTATAAAATTGAGAAACCCAGGGCTGTTGATTCCTAGTTTAAGCTTTCATCGCACACTAGGGTCCTTACGGTAGTGATAGGAAGAAGAAGAAAATAATTTAACATTAGAAACTTGAGTCACTTTATTTAAACTTTTAGATACTTAAGGAAAATAGCAATAATTTGGAGTGTTGTGTGAATGAGCATTTACTCTTATGAGCAAACTTCTGAAAATACTTAGCCAGTATAATATGAAAGGAAATATTTAACTTCCTTAAAACTTTCGGGTTCTAAAGTGAAATAAGGTTCTTCCACCAGTTAGTTGGGAAATGGACATTTCTTAAAGAGTTCTCACGTATAACCCTAATTTCAAGTTGCCTGAAGGTGTGCTGCAGCTTGGCTGCTCAGCAGGACACTGACGTTAAATCAGAGTGGTATTCAGCGTAGTAGAGCTGAAGTTCCAGCTCTTACTGGTTTGCGATCACAGGCATGGTTTTGAGTCTAGTTTCTCTACTTTGATGAATCAGTAGATTCAGATAGCCTGATCTCTAGGATGCTGTTGGACTGTTAAAATTCTGTGACTTCCGACGTAGATATGTATGCCTTATAAAAGAGGCTGCATGTTCATGTTATATTGCCATTGAAACTAGAGAAAATGAAAATGAGGAATAACTGAGAATTTTATACCAACACTGGCATACAGTTGTGCAGATAAGATCTGATATATGTATATATGTGTGTATGTACGCATATATATGAGGTTTGAATATTAAATATCTAAAATGTGGCTCCAAATTAGGTTTGAAGTTATCAGAAAAACGTAGGGAACTTTCCATGCTTGTTTCTGTCTGCTCTCTACATTTTTTTCCTGGTGCTGGGGATTGAATCCAGGATCTCC